ATTAAAGAAAAAGTGCATTATAGCTCGGTTGCAAATAAACAGTATTTTTAGTACAATTTTAATTTGTAACTTTTCAATTGAAGATTTCTGCTGAAACATTCACTTCAAAATGCTTTATTTGAACGTTAAACAAACGATTCTTATTCCATATCATTTTAGGTGACCGGGCTATACTGCATACCTATTTATTTAGGGGATAAAGTGCAGTATAGCCCGGTCACCTAAAATAGTATTTATTTGAGTATTTTCGGGGATAATACCACGAGAGCTTCAAAATTACCGATAATTTTTCACGATTGCGTGTTTTCTATAATTTCACGAGTCCGTAGGACGAGTGAAATTTGCAGAGAAAACACGCATGAGTGAAAAATTATCTGGTTCATTTTAAAGCTCAAGTGGTATTTAGAGGATTATTTCACGTATGAGAATGCAAAAAATATGGAAATAAATATGTATTAAACGATCTGAACATCTTAACAATCAATACAAATAAATGGTTTCTACCAGGAACCGTTTATTTGTATCAAAAATTAGCATGACAACCATGTATACAATAACATGGGAGAATTATCGCTGTAATTCTCTCTAGTTAAACAAATGGAAAAGAGAATTTTTGCTGTAATTCTGAAAATAGTCACTTGTCTTATGGGATTTCTAACACATGAGTGGAATAATCAATATAATTTTAATTTATAATTTTTAAATTAAAGATTTCCGCTGGAAATTTTTTTTCAAAATGCACTATTTGAACGTTAAACAAACGATTCTTATTCAAAAAAATACCATTTTAGGTGACCGGGCTATACTGCATATTTACCGAAAATTAGTACATTAAAATACAAGTTTCATAAGACGTCATTTTATCGCACGAGCCCTATATTAGAAAACGAGCCGGAGGCGAGTTTTCTAAAGGGCGAGTGCGATAAAATGTCTTATGAAACGAATATTTTATACTTTTTTTTCTATTTTGGTATTGTTTAATTTAAAAAAAAAACTTTTCTTGGAAATTTTATTCTCATATTTCCTGATTTCATATGTTTAGGTTGGCAACACTACATGTCAAATATAGAAATCTTCTATTTTTTTTATCGCGAATGACAGTTCGATGGCCATCAGTCAGCCAGTGTTACCAACCTCCGATAACTAAAAAAGGAGTGTCACAAAGAGGTTCTTTTCGAAACTACTTTTAGTGTCGAAAAGACTTCGATATGATACCAAAATAGAAAATAGTTATTTATGCAACAAGTGTGTGCATACTGCATGCGACAATCACATGAGTGAAAAAAGGTGCTTTACGCACGTATTGCATACAACATTTTTTCTACTACCAATCAAATATGTGTAAAACAATAGATTTATACAAATACTTTACGAAATAGTGCGTGAAGTAATTTAGTAGAAAAATACTAGTATAGTTCCCGATGTAGATCACTATTTCGAACGTACCAAGGTGCATTAACGATGTTTCTTAGTACCGTGCGTTCAATTTATCTTGATAACATTTTAATTCGCTGTAACTTTTTTGTTTTTGAAAGTATCAAGGTAAACAAAAAAACAAAACACTATCAATTTTTTGACATATGAGCCAACATTATATTTTTTTAAATGGAACACCCTGTATATTATATATGTGTTTGATAGAATATCTTATTCCGATTACGATGATATAATACACTCCATATTTTAGTCCACAAATCGGCAAAAATATATGAAACTTTTGAAGTGAAACTTATTTGGCGGCGATCTGATATTTGGGGGGAGAATCATTGATAGTGCATATAAAAATTTCATATTTTTGCCGATTTGTCAAAAACGAGTGGACTAAAATACAGAGTGTCCTTAGATAAACTGACACATTTTGCAGGTAAATATCTCGAAAACGAGAAAAGATAACGGGATGCGGTTTGTTTTGGCAGAATAAGGATTTTTCAAAGTTTTTTTTCATGGCATTGACAAATCCTGAAATTTGGTTTTAAGGACATTCGATTTTTTGAAATAATTACATACTGCCTTATTCTTGATGAAACACCCGGTATATTTTGTCATCGTCAGAAAGCGTGACTTTCCTACTTTACAAAAATGTATAATTTTTTTCAATTATCTCGAAATTGGATCGTAAAAATTGCACTTTGTTAAAGAGTGTACCATCGACTGGCCAAAAAAATAATGATAATTAATTTGTGTTTTATATGCACTTGCATTATTAGTTTATTTGTGTTTAATAATTGTATTATTAATTAATTATGCGCTAATTAGTTAATAAAAGTATCAAACACAACTTAATCATCAATTTTTTTTTTTGGTTAGTCGATGGTGTTCTCTTCGACAAAGTGCAATTTTTACGATGAAAGTTCAAGATAATTTGAAAAAATTATACATTTTGGTAAAGTAGAAAAAACAGGCTTTCTGACGATGACAAAATATACAGGGTGTTTCATTAAAAATAAGGCAGTCATTTTATTTCAAAAAATCGCATGTCTGTGAAACCAAATTTCAGCAAATTTTAGGATTCGGCAATAATGTGAAAAAAACTTTAAAAATTCCTTATTCTCCCAGAACAAACCGCATCTAGTTATCTTTTCCCGTTTTCGAGATATTCACCTGCAAAATGTGTCAGTTTATCTAAGGACACCCTGTATAAAGTATGTTATATCATTGTAATCGAAATAAGATATTCTATCAAACGCATATATAATATACAGGGTGTTCCATTTGAAAAAATATAATGTAGGCTCATATATATGTCATAACATTGATAGTGTTTTGTTTTATAGGTACCTACTTTGAAAAAAAACTTGGCTACCAACCTACATTTTGTTTACCTTGATACCTTCAAAAACAAAAAAGTTACAGCGAATTAAAATGTTATCAAGATAAATTGAATGCACGGTACTTTATTTTGGAATCTTTGAATGGAATTCAACTTTGGGGTTGCACTAAAGATAGTAACATACAAGCACTAGTGTGTGAAGTGAATTACTTTTCGCACTAGTGCGTGAAGTGAAATTTTACGTTAGGTGGTAGTAGAAAATAGTTATTTATGCAACAAGTGTGTAAAGTGAAGCTTTTTTCACGAATGTAAATTTTGACAATCACATGAGTGAAAAATAATTATTTATGCAACAAGTGTGTAAAGTGAACCTTTTTTCACGAATGTGAATTTTGACGCACGAGCCGAAGGCGAGTGCGACAATCACATGAGTGAAAAAAAATGCTTTACGCACGTATTGCATACAAAATTTTTTCTACTACCAATCAAATATGTTTAAAAAAATAAATTTGCACAAATACTTTACGCACTAGTGTGTGAAGAATTTTCACTTTACGCACTAGTGCGTGAAGTAATTTACCAGAAAAATGCCAAATTGACAGTGCTGACATCTGTCTTTGACATTACTTTTCGCACTAGTGTGTGAAGTGAATTACTTTACGCACTAGTGCGTGAAGTGAAATTTTACATCTTCTGAATAGTGCGTAAAGTGAGTACTTTACGCACTATTCAGAAGACGTCTTCACGCACTAGTGCGTAAAGTAATTCACTTCACACACTAGTGCATAAAGTAATGTCAGTAACAGATGTCGACACTGTCAAATTACTATTTTTCTGGTAAATTACTTCACGCACTAGTGCATAAAGTGAAAATATTTTACGCACTTAGTACGTAAAGAATTTGCCTAAATTTATTTTTTCACACATATTCGATTGGTAGTACAAAAAGTTTTGTATGCAATACGTGCGTAAAGACCTTTTTCTACAACTCCATTTAAATATCATCATTCGAAGCTTAAATTGCATCTACAATCGAAGGCAGGTGAATTTTAAATTTTAATTATTTTTGGTGTCCTGACAGGGGTTTTTCACTAATAATTTCTTAAACTAACAACTTTTCATCCTAAAATACCAAAAATATCCTTCCAAACACTAGAAAATCATCTAAAAACACCACAAAATACACACAAAAAACAGTTTTTTGATGAAAAATGTCACGGATGTTTGAATTAAATTTATGGCGCCAATTTTTTGGCATTGACCATGCATTGGCCGCCATTTTGTTTGGATTGCCCTATTAAACGTGGTACATTGGGTAACATCGCACATTTTCGACAGCTTCAGATCCCCTGGCAGACAATAGCTTGTCGAATTTTGTGGACAGGAGCGCAATCCTTATTAGATTACCTTCTACCTTTTGCCAATAACAAAATTTAAATCATTAGGGTGAATATGGATGACCGTGTATTTTCCCTAAAATTCTATTCATTTACTGAGAAGCTATATTATTATGGCCTCTGGTCAATTTGAAAAGACTGCAAGTAGTGCAAGTAACCTATATTTTACATCAGGAACTTAAATCTTCTATACTTATCAAAATAAACATTTTCAATTCAAAACTTCAATCATTATTTGAAAAAAATACCATTTTACAAAGACATCGCAAAACTAATGGAATTCTAAAATGTAGACAGAGTCGTTACACTTTGACGATCAAGATGATAGTGAATGTAAACTGCATGAGTCGTTATAAGAGAATGGACTACTTTTACTTTAAAACATAACTGGTGTCACATTTATTTTCCTATTTGAGACAAAATCATGGGCGTTTCATTTGGTGAATTTTATAAAAAAACCCAACAAATACATTTATGCTAAACCCTCCTATGATTTCCGTTATAACAAAAAATGCATTTTCTTTTCTTAGTAGAATGATAAGATGCAAGATTTTTTTGAAGCCCATAAGTTCTTTTATAAACCATTAAAAGACATAATCTATGTACACCTATGATGATATATAATTATTATTACGTGGCGCGATTTAAATACTATTATATCAGAGAATGGACCAAAAAGTTTTTTGTGGCACTGAACTTAAGGAAGAAAGTAACGGGCGCAAATTTATTTAATAATCAAAATACGTCAGTCTTTTTTGGTTCCGCATAATATAAATAAGTGTTTCCTGCATGTTGAGAAGCCAGTTTTACGAACCTCTTATTAGTGAAAAGACATGATCATTTTTGTAAGTACCGCAATCATTAATTTCTATATTTTTATAAAGTTATCTTTTGTAGAGTACGGTTTTGGCAATTTGCTGTCTACTCGGGACAGCAAAGGCCGCACCAGGTCCTTGGGCGTCAGGATCGTCGTCCAAACAGCCCTTGGAGGGTACTCCGGACTTTAGTAACATCCACTATCCGAAATACGATCTCATCGATCTGGGCGAATATTCCAAAGGACACGTTCCCGGTGACGAAATCAAAGTGATCAAAGAACAAAAAATTAGCATCCCTCAGCCTTATCCTGTCAAAATTCCCGTCCCTCAACCCTATCCTGTACACATCGAAAAGCCTTATCCGGTACACCATACCAAAATAGTTAAAGTTCCAGTGCCATATCCACAAGTAATCGAAAAAAAAGTGCCGTATCCCGTTGAAGTACCGAAACCTTATCCAGTTCCTGTAGAGAGTCACCACCACGAATCGGCTGGATTGGAACATTTGGGCCATCATGCTTTGGAGAGTTACGATGCACAAGAACCTCATGGACAACTACCATCTAATGAAGGGTACGAGCATGGGGTTGGTGGCGGACATTTAAATCAGTTAGAAGCCAAATTAGAAGAACATAGTGGTTTGGAAAATCATGGTTGGCAACCCATTGGAGGTGAAGAGAGTCACGGATATTGAAAAAAAAAGACTGTTGTTAATAATTTTGTTTGTAAATATTGTTGTTTTTTTATTAAAAAAATTATTTTTGAATTTGATTTTTTCTTTCAAAAAAATTCTGAAAACAGTGTTTCAGTAGGTACTTATATTTTCACTAGAATGTATTTTTTTGTTTGTTTTAATTTTGTGTCTACATAGCTGATTTTTGGTTGAAGTTCTGGCCACAACTTACTTATAGTGACTCAGTGCCATAAGGTTCCTGTAAGTCCACAAAAGGTCAGGTGAACTTGTCTAACTCTTTCTCCTTTTTTTTCAAGAATACTTCATCTATACAAGAATGTCCTGCCCTGAAACCATCTTAATCCTATGATTCTTATAACTCAATTTCTATTCTGTTTTTCAGAATAAGTTCATATAATCTGGCTACTGAGCTTGTGACTATAGTTTTTACAGTCCAATCTATATTTTCACTACCTCTTCTAGAGTGTTGCTCCATCAAGGTGCAAATTAATTCAATTTCCTTGAGAACTGTTTCTGTCCTAGAGCGTGATTTGCTAATTAGATTGGTATATACATGTTTTGATCTCCTCCTACAAATTGTTTGCTGTGTTACATTCTTATATTGTCGAGAGTTTTTGAGCGAGTTGCTGTCCTTTCTATTTATTTATATATATTTTTTTATTGTTTCATTAATTTCACCTATAACTTTTTTCAACATTTGCTTTTTTTCCTCGTTTTTTTTCTATTCTTCAATGAAAAAAAAAAAAAATCTAACAAAACATAGTTGTACTTACCTGGAAAGCCAAAGGAGTACACCTAATACAATTTGGTGAAATAAACAACCTGAAATACAGTAACTCTGGGAAACTGTAAGAGAAAAAACTAAGATTTTGTTCTCAGACTACTAAAATAACTGAAAATACAGGCAAAGTTTTACCAAAAACAATATTTATTTTTTTCAATATAACTCCATTTTCAAAGCGACATAGTATTAATAATTGTAAAATAGACATAACTCTACAAAATACATATAAACGACGTACTTTCAAATTAATTGTAAATACAATATAAATAATAAAAATAATAATAATGACTTGTCACCTTAGCTTGCCAAGCGAAGCCATTTTTTTTTGCCTTAAAATTAATAATAATAATAAATTGCAACAGAAAATAAAAAATTTATAAGATCGTAACACAAAAATACAATGTCTGAATATAAATATACAATATTAGAATTATTGTTGTTATAATTATTATGTGTTTAGGGCTTACGTTTAGTCTTTCGATAAAATAAAATATATACAGGGAACGACACTGATCCCTATACAAATCCTGAATTATCAATGGCGCGACTTTAAATTTCCTAATCTTCCAAAATCTATTTTAACTTACGATAATACAATTCTAGGCGCATGCCTAACATGAAGATTATTACATTAATGCAATAAATACACTGGCGTACGTACCGTAATATTACTAGTTAGCTGAGGAGAGTATTTGTTTTAACTAAATTTTAAATAAAACCCCAATCCAAGACGTTTTTTTTTTTGGTGTATAAGGGAAATACACAAGTGTATTTCTCTATACATATACATATAAGGCTTGTTTCTTCCCAAAAATTATCAAATCACATATTAATTAGGTACTATACATTTAAAATTTCTAATAATTGCTTACTTATCAAATGTGCAAACTACAAGAAAAATATATTATTCTAGGATAAATCTATTCCAAAAAGAAAAAACAAGAGAGTAGAATAAAATCCGTGGAAGGGGCCTTTTGAGTCCCAAATCAATCAGTTAAAGCGTAAGTTAGTGATGAAGAAAAAATAGCTCAGTTAAAATCTAAATAAAAAAAAAAACCTTTTATACTTCAATCAACTTTGCCAAATTCTTACCTTAATTGTCAATTAACTCGAGCTCGTCTTATGTTTTCTTAAGTGTAAAAAAGCTGCGTCGTTTCTGGTCGTCCTTTTGCGCCGAAGCCGGCAAAGTTTGAGACCGCGATGGCCCCGAAGCTGTCGTGTCGGCGTGGGCGTTGATGTGCGAAATCCAGGTACTCATTTCCGCATCGTTTTGGGCTTGGAATAAAAAGTCACCGCCGTTTTCTAACCTAGAAACAATTTACAAATTTGAATGTACTGGTGAAGATAGGATATTTGATTTGAATCTCTATTCTTACTTGAGTCTAAACACGTGCTTCTTTTTCTTGTAATCGTTGGCGATTGAAGCTGTGGCGCCGTGTAGCTGCAAGGGTGCTTCGCCCTTGAATCTTTGATCTGGCGTCGTTTTTGCCGTTTTTGTGTCTTTGTAAAATGCTAATTGGCTGCCTCTCAATACCACAAACACCTAATAAAATTCGAAATGATGTATCCAAATAATTAGTTTGTACAATGAAAAATCTCTACCTTATCCCAGGATCTATTAGATGCCTTGACAGTTGTATTTTCCCACTCGTGTTTCCTGACCAAGTGGCCTTCGAAGCCTTCCTCATCAGGACTGGAACCTTCTAATCAAATTTTTATTACAACAGGTTCTACCTCTATAGTCACATCACATACATTTACAAATAAGACAAAACAAAGACAAAACGCACAGTTTAACAAACTATTACCACAAAATAAGTACTCATGGTCGTATTCGAATTAAAAACCATTACAAATAATACCTTGTCTAGAGGCCAAAACCCCCTCGTCATCACTGTGAGCACCAGAGTGAGTTTTAGGGCTGCTCTTTTTCCACCTGAAGCTGCGGAAGGGCGATTTGCTACGGGATCGGTCCTTGTTGCGTTTCGCTTTTTCTTCCGCTCTGGACACTTCACAAAAGGCAAACAAATAAAGCATACAAAAAATAAAAACAAACAAAACGAAAATTAAAGCAAACACATGTGAAGCTATCAGATAATAATTATTACTTGTTCTACTGAATATTTTACATTTTCAAGTGACTGTTCTAGGAACCGTTTGAAAAATGAAAATTTCGTGTCTTCAGTAAAATACTTATTCTGACACATATGCAATAAGACAGACTTTTTTTTTAGGAGGGACTATTTATCCTTATCATTTAGATATTTACAACACTATGTAAATTGTGTCTGTTTCTTTTTTCATTCTGCCAAAAACAATTATTATTCTAGAACAGTCCTTAAATACCCCAAATAAAGCTGATTATGTTGTCCTGGCTTTTAGTAGAATCGCACCCTCAAGAATGACACAGCTTAAAAAATCACTTTATTCTTAAGAAAAATGTGTCTCAAATGAACTTTTCTATTTTTAGTTGCGACTTAGGCCCGGTTTATTCACCTTCAAATAAAGTTGTTGGTAACTATCTGCAAGATAAATTTGCCGTTCTATACTTCGCCCCTAAACCCGCCAAAGGTTTGCTAGTTCCTCCATCGAACGCCTCCCCAGGTGGCGGATAGGGGAATGCTTCCCAGATATGGGTGGTACGGGGGAAATCAAATACTCGGGGCAGACCAAAAACTAGCACTGCACCGTTTGTACCCATATTGGGTGGTTGCAAACGGCGTTTGACCCAGAAAATAAGCCAATAAATTGGTATAAAGGAAGGCAACGGGATACCACCTTTATTATTTTCCCAAGACAATAATATTAAATTCAAAATTTTCCGGATGTATAAAATAGTCCCCCAAACGGATCAAAGTCAAAAGTCAAAAAATCTTCAAGGGGGACGGCTTTAAATGTAACAACAACAAAATGAGAAAAAAATTAAAAAAACCATTGAAGATCCGAACATGGAATGTAAGAAGCCTATTCGAAACTGGGAAACTGGCAAACCTCACACAGAATGAGCAGACTCAAACTGGATATCCTAGGTGTCGCTGAAACCTGGTGGCCTGGTGTGGGAAGGTGCAATGTAGATAACCGAGTATCCTGGTAATCACGATCCAAAACATAGAAAAGGCGAGGGCATGTTATAACAAAAGAACTACTGAAATCTGTTGTGGACTTTCTTCCATACTCGGACCGCAATGCTTCATTGAAACTCAAAGCCAAGCCAAGTAATCTTAATATAATACAGGTATACGCACAGTTGGATCGTATGATCTTGGAGAATGGAACGAGAGGGGTGATCGACTTTTACAATTCTGCCAAGAGGAAAGCATGAAAGTGACAAATACATGGTATCAACTTCACCCTCGCCGACTCCTATACCTGAAAGGAAAGTCCCCAGCGGACCGTTCACACAATGTAGTGCGAAACCAAATAGATTTCATCCTGATCAACCAAAGATTCAGCTGAACTAGCAAGAGAGCCGTCACATATCCTGGGGAGATGTGCCTTCTGACCATGGACGTCTTGAAAATCTCTGTCAAGTCAAAGAAAGCCAACCACACAGCGACGGGTGGCGTTAGAAAATTGAGGGTCCCAATAATAAAATCTGAGATGTGTTATGAGATAAACACACAAATACAAACAATATAATCGAATATTGCAGAAGAGCCAAGACAAAAAGATAATGAATATTGCAACAAGCTCAATGCAAAACAGATTATATATACAGGGTGAGTTACTAAGCGCGCGGTGGTCCATATCTCCTATACTAATGGAGATCGAAAAAAAAACTAAATACAAAACTTGTAGATAAACATGAATACTACATTCCTAAATTATTTTCCAGTATACAGGGTGGCCCAATAACTAGTAATGACACAAAGTTATGTTTTTTTAAATGACTCCCCCTGTATATTATGACATTTCTGGATTCTGCGGAAAATTCTTGACATATTTCATGTACGGGTGGGCCAATTTGGACACTTTTAATAGGAAACATCAATTTCTGAGCGAGATACAAAAAAATGAACCCCCCACTTTGAGGCTCAAATTTCATGAAATTTTGATATTTTCAACCGTTCAGTCGCTAGAGGGCGATTCTCGATTTTAAGCAACACTGTGAAACCTTCGTAACTTTTTACTTTATGAAAATTTGATTTCCGTAAAAACTTTCTTAATGCACTTTATTAAGCAGAATTTAGTGACGTTCTCAGTTTTTTTCTAGTTAGTCCTAACTTCGAGTTATTGACCAAAGTCCGGTTTTTTTCAATAGGACACTCGATATATTAATAGCTTAATGGAAAGCTCTGCTTTTGCTGATTTCAATCATAGAAAGTTCGATAGGTTTATCTCTAACAGTTCCCGAGAAAAAAAATTATTTCTGTTTTTGTCATAAGAAACAATGTGTTAGAAAGGGACCTTTCTCTTGTTCCTTACAGATATGAAGTCTTTTTCTAACACATTCTTATGACAAAAATCGAAATATTTTTTTTTCTCGAAAACTGTTGAAGATAAACCTATCGAACTTTATATCATTAAAATCAGCAAAAGCATAACTTTTCAATGAGCTTATAATATATAGGGTGTCCTATTGGAAAAAATCGGACCTTAGTCAATATCTCAAAGTCGGGGCCAAATAGAAAAAAATTGAAAACGTCACTGAATTATTCTGCTTAAAAAATTGCTTCAAGAAAGTTTTTACAGAAATCAATTATTTTCATAAAGAAAAAAGTTATGAAGGTTTCACAGTATTGCTCAAAATCGAGAATCGCCCTCTAGCGGCTAAACGGTTGAAGATATCAAAATGCGGTTTGCACCAATCAAAATTTCATGAAATTGATGTTTCCTATTAAAAGTGTCCAAATGTGCCCACCCTGTACAATGTCATATACCTATCTTCAACTGTTTCGGAAATATTGACAGTTGAAAATTGACTTTTTCGCATCTTTGACAGACTGTAAAACCTAAACGGTTAATTTTAGAGGAAAACGGATTTTACATTGCTATATTACATTTTCATAAGCTATCATTTGACACCAACTTTGAAGCGGAATTTCTAATCATGGATTAAATTCATGGTCGGTGTCAAATGATAGTTTATGAAAACCTAAGATAGGAATGTAAAATCCATTTTCTTCTAAAATTAACCGTTCAGGTTTTACAGTCTGTCAAAGATGCAAAAAAATCAATTTTCAACTGTCAATATTTCCGAAACAGTTGAAGATAAGTATATGACATTGTACATGAAATATGTCTAGAATTTTCCGCAGAATCCAGATATGTCATAATATATAGGGGGAATCATTTAAACACACAGAACTTTGTGTCACTACTAGTTATTGGGCCACCCTGTATACTGAAAAATAATTTAGGAATGTAGTACTCATGTTTATCTACAAGTTTTGTATTCAGTTTCTTCTTCGATCTCCATTAGTATAGGAGATATGGACCACCGCGCGCTTAGTAACTCACCCTGTATATAGTTGATTGATTCGTTTTTTTTTTCTTTTATTCTAATTGAATTGCGCGCGCTTTATGCCTGAGAATGTAATACGGCTTTGCTAAATTTGGCTTTTAAAAATGCGCGCGTAAACACTGAAAAAAGATACCGGCAAACTCCTTACACTGCCGATAAGTAGACCCGTTGCCAAAAACACGACGCCCGCTTCGTGTGGTTCGAGAAAATAGACCCGCGGTTTTTCGTTTGCCGCGACCGGTTAAATCAAGACGGTTTCGTTGCACTCCTTCGCATTGGACCTGAACTTCCTGAATGAGCTGGCCAGCTGAGTGGAGTTTGGAAGTAAGGTGAGAAAATATCCTTTATTTACAATCATACATGTAATGTTGACTTTACTGACTTTTAAAAAGTTCGAAAATGTCACTTTTTTGACTTTTACTTTCGGCCCACGGGTCGAAAGTAAACTTTCGACCCGTGGGCCGAAAGTAAATGAAATTGTTAATTATTGTATTTTTTAGTTTTAATTCAAATGAAAATTTCAAAATTCGAATGATTGTAAATAAAATAGTATACATACCTCGGTGAAAAGTTTCATTACTGTCTCGAGATTTCAGTTACTTAACTTAAATCTCTCGACAGTAATGAAACACTTTCCACCTCGGTATGTAATATACTATTTCAGTTTCGATATCTTTCAATTTCATTTCAAAATCTTTCATCGATTACCATTCTATCAGCAACCTGTGGATTTTCCAGTTTCAATTTCGCACTAAGGCAAAGAACAAAAAACAAAAATGGATGACGGATGAGATTTTGTTGTTAAAGGATGAACGTCGAAAGCACAAGAACAAAACAGACAGCAACATGTACAGAGATACTCAAAGACTCATAAGGTCAAAGATTAGAATAGCAAAGAACGAATGGCTTAAACGTGAATGCTCAGAGATAGAGCAGCTGCAAAATCAACACAATATCTTTAACCTGCACAAAAAATTGAAGGAGACTGCGGGCACATATAAAAAAAATGAGTCCAACTATAACAGTAAATAATAACAATCAGATTCTTGACAGCAAAGAGAAGAACAATGTTTGGGAAAGGTATATTGAAGAACTTTTTGACGACGACAGACCCGCAGCTTATATCAATAACTTTGTAACCGGCCCATCGATCACTAAGGACGAGATTGAATGTGCCATACGTCATTCAAAAAATAACAAAGCAGCTGGCCCAGATGAAATCCCTTCAGAAATCCTTAAACTCCTAGATGAAAGAGGCATCACAGCACTACATAAATTATTTAACTCTACTTATGAGACAGGTTATCCCACACAATGGTTGTGCTCTACTTTTATACCTCTGCCTAAGAAGATCAATGCAAGAAAATGTGAAGATCATAGACTTATTAGCCTGATGAGCCATACTTCAAAAATATTTTTTAAAATCATACACCAGAGAATTTACTGGAAATGTGAAAGAGTCATAAGCGACTCGCAATTTGGGTTCAGACAGGGTTAGGTACACGAGAAACAATAGTCGCAACACAAGTGCTTGTCCAAAACTGTTACGATCAAAGAAAGGATGTGTGCCTATGTTTCATAGATTACGAAAAGGCCTTCGATAGCGTACAACACCACAAATTAATGCAGCTCCTCAATAAGCTTGATATAGACCAGAAAGACATTAGATGCATTGAAAACCTATACTGGAACCAAACAGCGCAATTCAAATTAGGCAATAATATCGTGCATGTCAATTTGTCCTCACGCCAATTGGTTGACGGTTTTTGGACTTAAAAGTGGGCTTATTGTTGTTACCGATTTGAGACGTACAGGGAAGGTTTTGTATAGTTTAAGAGGGCATTCTAAGAGTGTGGTTTCGTAGGCTTGGTGTCCTGCACCTGTGAATATCTTTCCTGCTACTCCTTTGAATAAGGTTGCTGAGAAGTTTGGTGAAGGTTCTCAAGAAAATGAGTCATTGGCATTAGATGCCAAATCTTCTGAAGAAGCAACAGCTGTCACATCTACTGAAGAAGCATTATTAGCTGTCAAATCTTCTGAAGAAGAATCAGCTGCAAAATCTACTGAAGAAATATTAGTTGCCAAATCTTCTGAAGAAGCAACAGCTGATAAATTGCCTGAAATAAAAGAATTATTGACATCAGCTGACAACGTTTCGGAAGACAATCAGTCACTGTCATCAGCTGTCAAATCTTCTGAAGCCAATGAATTGAAAGAATCGTATGAGGATCAAGAATTGCTAACGTCAACGTCTAAAGAAAATCAGTCTGTCAAATCACCTGCTGAAGAATTATTGACATCAACAAAGAAGTTTCATCAACTGACAAAGAATTGTCATCAACTGACAAAGAATTGTCATTAACTGACAAAAAAGTGTCATCAACTGACAAAGAAGTGTCACCAACTGACACACAACTAGAAATGATTGAACAACAAGGATCTCCAGATCAAGAAGAAAGCAAAAAAATCCTAAAAAAGAACCAAACTCAGGGACTCATTTCACTCATTGTTGTAACACTGACAGCAAAAAAAAGCCCAAAAGCGTCTCAAAAATCTCAGATTTCCTGGCCAAAACCCAAAAACCAGACTCCTTGGACGGTTCCTGCTCCAGCGAGGAAAACAGGCAATTCTGTTCTGCGAGTAGTTGCGATAACGACCCAAATTGCTCCAAACGCACCAAGGAAATTCCCAGCCCAAAAAAACTAGAAAATGAAGTATTTCATGACGCCAAAAAAAAAAAGAAAAACCCATTAAAACCGAGCTAATTCGCAAAGGCGAACAGCCAAGAAAAGAATTCCTATTGGCTTCTTTGGCAAGAGAACCAAACATCTACATTTGGCGGGCAGGTACCGATGGTAGAATGCAAACCTTCCTCAAAGTACCGGTAACAAAAAAACCCCGGGTCCCCGTTGGATCCAAATCGGTAAGGATTTTTTTTGATTTTTCTAAGTAGAGAAAATTCCAGAGCACAGTGATAGGAAAAGGACAATTTTTAGGTCACCAATCAATGTATCCTGATTCCATTTTTGTCTATTCCGGGCTCTCGAAGATGTGTTTGCGTCACTGTTGAATTTATCCCACTTTATCTCGGTCTTTTTCTTAACCGTTAAGTTGCCGTTTTCTTTATCCTACTTGTCTATTCTAGGCCTTTTATTGGCCAAGATACAAAAATGACATACAAGCTCACTCAAGCGCCGGGAATAATTAAAATACGTGCCTCATTTTCAAATCCCACTTTATTTCTGTTTCTATCTTACTTATTGAGTTTCTTATATTGCTGTCTCTTTATTATTCCAAGCTCTTGGCTACTCAAGCGCCGGGAATAATCAAAGTTTGCGTCACTATCTTACTTATCCTACTTTATCTTTGTCTTTTTCTTAACCATCAAGTTTATGTCGTTTTCTTTGTCTGGAGGTTACCTTATGATTTAGATTTTGGAAAACTTTAGGTCATGACTTTAGTTCCTTTTTTCATAGAATCCGGCTCCAAATCTCAGAATAATTTAGTGTATGCAGTTTGGGGGATCCCAAATGTCCGTTAAGACACAAAATCTCAACAATTTTTTTTTGAAATTTCATCATTTTAGTATTGAGGTAGCTACCTTATGATTCAGATTTTGGTAAACTTTGAAAGATCATAACTTTTTTTTTATTATACAGGGTGACACAAGGAATAGGGAACAACCTATAACTTTTTCAATATACAGGGTGCTACAAATTGGAGTGCATGCATGGGGATATCGGAAACCGTAAGAGATACGAGGTTGGTTAAATTATGGCAAAGTTGCGCAATTTTATGACCAATAAAATTCCGTTTTGAAATTTGAAAAATTCCGAATACTTCGGAAGATATTCGGATTCTGTAAACTGTTTAGGTTTCTGTAAACTGTTTAAGGGTCATAAATAAAATTTCTTTAAAAAAAAAAAAAACCGAAATTTTACAAAATCATTATTATTTTTTCCTGAGTCTATTTGAAGAGCAATTTCCAAATAAATGTCACTTCATCATTGTCACTTTTTTCCCTTTACAAGATGTTGCTAACAAATTTCAGATTCGACGTTTCGTCTTTGGGCGGCCATCATCAACTTCGTTTTTCTAAATACGGACGTGGATTTTTTATTTCAGATTTTAAGAGTTTCTGATGTCCTAAAACCAATGAGATATTGCACTTATTCGAAAAATTTATATTATTGGCACTTTCCATAAGAACTTAATGTGTTAGAGAGAGACAGAGAAGAGAATTTTGGTAGAAAATTGCTAAAAAGTAATAAAAATAATTTTTCGAATAAATGCAATACGTCATAGGTTTTGGGATATCAGAAACTCTTAAAATCTGAAATAAAAAATCCAGGTCCGTATTTAGAAAAACGAAGTTGATGATGGGCGCCCAAAGACGAAACGTCGCATCTGAAATTTGGTAGCAACATCTTGTAAAGGGAAAAAAGTGACGATGATGAAGTGACATTTATTTTGAAATTGCTCTTCAAATAGACTCAGGAAAAAAGAAATAATGATTTTGCAAAATTTCGGTTTTTTCCGAATATCTTCGAAAGTATCCGGAATTTTTCAAATTTCAAAACGGAATTTTACTGGTCATAAAATTGCGCAACTTTGCCATAATTTAACCAACCTCGTATCTCTTACGGTTTCCGATATCCCCATGCATGCACTCCAATTTGTAGCACCCTGTATAAGTTGAAAATTTGAAATTTGGGGAGCTTAAACGAGGCACCTTTTTTAGTTTTTTAGAAGTAAATTACATTTAAAAATAAAGATTTTTCAAAAGTTGTTAGGTTATTTCTCAGCGGATTTCAAAAATGTTGATATCAAAAAATGGGGAAAAAAATCTAGTTTCAAAAAATTGATAGGTCCCGGCGTGGTTACATTTGAAAAATATGGAATACTTTGGAAACACCTCTTTCTTTAATTTTGATTTGAAATTATGGCGTTCAGTATAGAAGGTTGGATATTAAAGGTGACCGCAATAATTACCAAATTAGTGGCTTTCGATATGTGGCTGTATCGCAGAATCCTTAGGATACCTTGGACTGCTAGACTTACAATCGAAGAAGTCCTAAGACGTTGGAAGAAGAAGATACTTCTATTGGTCGGCGGAAAACTGGCCGACCAATAGGATTACAGATTGCGTTTTTATCCGTCAGATTGCATACCTGATAGAAGGTGAATAAACCGGCTTTTAATCAGGCAAATTTTCTAGATCTATTTTGAAACTTGGCTAATTTTTCAAATCTTGACTGGATCAGCCGAAGGTGTAATAACACTACTTCTGATTAAAATTTTGTCCCATCTGATATAAAAGTTTTACTTACGTGTCTGAGACCTAGGGGGCGATGGAGTGCCTCCGATTGTTGGCGGTCGTAGATACGCACGTCCATGCACTACAGAAGAGAACAACATGCTCATGCATTAATCAAACGACATGCAAAAATACTTATTCATAATTTTAAAAATAATATAAATTATTGAGCAAAAGATTTTCATCAAAGCATTTCTTAAGCAAAAAAAAAGTAGATAGTTAATGTGCATACTTACCACCAATAGTTTACCTGATATTATAAAATGAAATATATGAGGCTAGAAAAACCATAACCATTATTTTTCAAAGAGTAAATTAGATAATAATTTGTTAATCTGTGCGGAATATATATTTAATATAGAATTTTTTAGTGCGAATAAAATTAATATTGTTATCAGAAGAAAGAATCTTGGACTGTGAACTTTATAGTATGAGCCTCTGTACAGTTTATGTTTGATGTTTCTTATACAATTCAATTTACCTTCACCAGGTGAAACTGCTTTAATAGAAGATATTTGCATCCCAGAAGCTGCTTGCAAAGAAAATAGGTACATTCATAAACGCTTGTACCAAAATTTGTCAGTGATAAATAAATTTAAATATTGCTTACCCGGTCTTTCTTCTAGAGATGCCGCACCTGCATCAGGCCTATCAGCTGAACTAGGTTCGGGTTCCTTCGGTCTTGAAGCTGCTTCTAAAGCTGCTCTTCTTTCAGCTTCTTCGCGTTCCTTACGAGCCCTTTCTTCAGCTTCAGCTTCTTCGCGCCGCTTCATTTCGCGAATTTCAAACTAAGAAAACAAACAGTATTTATTAGAAATTGTCCCTGAAATACACAATGATTATCAAAAGCTGATTAATTTAATAATAATTAAATATTAACAAACAAGAATCTACTATTTAGTAGTACTCACCATAAAATCGTTATAATCAAAACAATTCCCAAGTCTTTTGCCCCAAATCTCGTTAAAACTTGCCACCAAACTGCTCCTAATTGACCCTCCAGAATTTGATCTTTCAGCTAACAAAAATGCTTCACACAAAAAGATGTTTTTATTCAAAACCCTACCATGCAAAAAACTTCTTTGTAAACAATTTGAATTGAAATCTGGTAAATATTTTTTGCAGCCCAACAAAGTAAATCGTCTTCTAACAAATTTTTTGCTATTATAAAACTTATCAGAATCCAAAATAATGTTTTTCACTAATTCAGAGGTGAACTTTTGAGTAAACTGACGTGTTTGGAGCGGTTTTACGTTTGGAGACTTGGGAATGTCGATTGTAGAGTCGCTGTAAGATGGAAGAGACAGAAAATGATCGTGCAAAACAGGATGAAGAATAGAGTGCCCAACACCAGTTTCTAGCTAAAAGAACATGCACAATACAACCAAAACATAAACAAACAAAATATCAAATCTACAAACTAAGAAGCTACAATTTAATATTAGTAAACAAGAAGGCATCTATACAGTTACAGTAATTTGTATTATATTGACATTTCAAGTAAATAAGTTTTCCTCATCTCGAAGACTCTTCAGGAATTGAAAAACAAAACTTTTATTCTTGTCAAAACAAAATTACCAACTGTAAAGGATCTTCAAACAGTAAAAATATAGCAGTGTCCTATTACCACAGATAGACGAGGCATTAATTCATAAAATACACTCTGTAGCTTTGACAGCAGGTGGAGGAAATGAAGTCAAATATGAACTATTCATGCATTCTGAGTGATGAGTACTAATGGCAGCAAACAAAACACAGATAAGTTGCCATATCAAAATCTTAAGTAATGCTCCGCCTATCTTTAGTAATTGGTTTAGTCAAAGGAACCTATGTCCAACTAAAAAGCAGCCACTACCTCAAACAAAAATACTTCTTACCGTGGTCAACCGTTCCAGAGCGCTAAACCGTTCTTCTTGGGCAGCTGCTGATTTTTCAAAGGCTTCGTGTTTCTTGATCAGATTTTCCACATCGTCAATGGTGTGTCCTAGTTCGGTGCTCATCAAATAAGGTTCTTGAGCGATAAGCCACGCTTCGGCTACGGCAGCGTCTCGGGCGAACTGATACACTTCCAGAATTAGTTGCAAGTTTTCCCATCTGACACACAAACGAAATTGAATAAATAAAAACTACAATAACCCAGAATAAGTCTTACCGTTCCTCCCATCTTTGCACAACACCCTGTCTGTGATTATTCAAAGCCACCAGCTTGTCTGTGATCTCAGCACTAGCATAGTGATGTCTGCTCAACAATTCTTTGCCCAGCGATATACAAGAAGTGAAGTTATCCTCGCGGGCATCAATTTCTGCTTTAAGACTCTGGTGGTTGCTCATCAACAATTCAACACCGCCCACGTCTCTCGGTTTTTCGCTGGTGTTCATTTGTCGCACGACATCGTCCATCCACTGCATCAAAGTCCGCACCAAATTGAAGAATTTAAATAGATCGCCGGTGTCCGCCAATTTTCCGCGTCTTTGCTCCCAGGCTAGTTGTAAATTGGCCCAAGCATTAACAACTTCTTGTTCCCTATTGGTAATTTCCTTAGCCCTATCGCCCGCGTAGCTGGCCTGCAACTTGGCCGATTCCTCTTGGATTTGTTGGACTTGGCTTTGTAAAGTTTGCAAGTCCTGCATGAAGTTTTGGTGTTTGCGTTGCAGAGCCGACACTGAACCGGCATCGCGGCCCAAATCCTCTGACATGGCCACTTGCTTTTCCAAAATACGACTTAGAATGTCTTTGCAATCGTGGAAGAATTTGTGCAATTCTCTCGAGGCGGCCAACATTTGGGTTCGCGTTTCTATCAGTTCCAAAAGATCTTGCCACGCTTCGTTGAGTCCGTCTTTCCATTCTGCAATGGTGGCCGAGTCTGAGTGACCGGCTGCGATCAACGAATCAGCAATATCGTTTACTCCTGCGACACGTTCGCTGCCAATCGTTTCAGTATCGTGAGCGAATTCTTTGAATCTTTCCCAAAGCAGCGTGACATGATCGTAATCTTGCCCTAATTCGTGAGATGAAGCTACCACTTCCCTGTCAGCTATCCATTGTTCTAGATCTCCCACATCGCGATTAAGAAGGAACAGTTGCAAAGCTTCGTCTAGTTTAGCGCGACGTTCTTGGGCCAAGTCCTTGAGTCCGGCATATAATTTGTCTAACTGTGATTGTTTTACCGCCACTTGTTCGGCCAAAGGATGACCTTCAGCGCCAAGAGCTTTAACAGTTTCACCGAGCCCTCTAATCGTGTCAGCGTAAGCTTCTACTGCAGCTTCAAGGCTTTCGTGCTTCTTCATGAAATTTCTAGCACTGGTTTCATCTTTGCCTCTGTCTTCTACCATCATGTACAATTCTTGTTCGCTCATCCAACTTTCTGCCTCGTTAGCATCGAACAAGTATTGCTGAGCTCTTTCATTTCTCAATAAGTTCTCTCTGCGTTTGTCAATGGCGTCTTTGAGTTCTTGCCAAGCCTTGTGGAGTTCGTTAATCAATCGGCTGAATTCTGTCGCGTCTTCGTGACCTTCGTCAATCAATTTTTGTCCATTATTACACACTGTATTGATGCGCGGTTCGTGATTATCAACTTCAGTTTGTAAGGACTGATTTTTCTTTTGTAGCATGTTGACTTGGAATAGATTGTTTCCGTATTCCGTGGAATTGGCTAGTGGCATTTTTTCGGCAATCCATAAAATTTCTTCTTCCACGTCTCGCCTAAATTGCAACGCTTCCTTCTTCTTTTCCAATATTCTCTGTCTTTCGATAAGAGGCTGTTTGATGAGTTCGAATCTCTGTTCGACTTTGCTCTTTTTGACTTTAATTTCGTTGATGTCTTTGTCTGGAGCGGCAGTTTCCAAATGTTTAGTTTGTTTTTCTAATTCGTCCACTTGTCTAGCTTTAACGGCCATTTGTGTTTCGATCATTTGTTGTTTTTGCATTAAAATATTGACAGAGGCCAAGTCTGAGCCGGTGTCATCGCTTTCGATTTGTTTTTCGAGGTCGTTCATCCACGAGTCGATGTCATCGCAGGTTTGATGGATAAGTACTTCGCGGTTGGCGTCAAACAGACGTTCGCCCTTCTCTTTTGTCGTATGTTCCAAAACGTCAAACTGATCAGCTAGTTCCTCGATTTTAGGTGAAATTTCACTAGCATATTCAGGTTTCTCTTTGGCTAACTCTTCACCAGCATGTTGCAAATTTAATAAACGTTCTTTATTTGCCCCAATTTCAGCCTCGAAAGCTTGATGCCTCGTCCACTTGGAGTGTACAGTTTTGGCTGATCTGTAGGTTTCGTCTTGAGCAGTAATGTGCTTTTCTTGAATCCATTCTCCGAGCTCGTCGCAATCCCTCAAGTACTGATGAAGTTCCAATTGATCGCGAAGCCTTTCGAATAGAGCCTGAGCCTTCTCTTTGTTGGCAAGACGGCGCTCATCCAAGTTATCAGCCCGCTTGCCGATTTTGTCCGAAGCGAAGTGGCCTTCGTCGCAAAGTCTCCTGGAAAACTCAACGACGCTGTTGATTTTGTCATCGTTAGCTTCCATAGTGGCCAGGCATGCTTCGTGACGTTTGAGAAGGTTTTCGGCTTGCTCCAGCGTGGTGGGAGTTTCGTCTTTGCTGAGAGTGTGTTCTTGTTGGTTAAGAATGACTTCAGCTTGGCGGGCGTCGCGTTCGAGTAATTGCAAGCTCAACGATTGCGACAAAAGGTGTTGCCTGTTATCCCACATTTGATGGATTTCTGCCCAACCGTCCTTGAGTGCCTTGAGACGTTCTCGCAAAAACATATATTGAGGATCATCTTGAGTACTGGGATCTGCGGTAATTTTCTCTCCGTATTCCATCATCTTTGTGTAATCGTCTGTATAATTATCGATTTCTTCTCTGATAGCTTGATGTTGAGATAAAAGTTTTTCGGCTTCAGATAGAGAACTGGGAGTGTCTTCTGAGGCAATATCGGTTTGTGTTTTGGTGAGCCAAGTTTGGAAGTGATCCAAATCGCGAAGGAATCTATGCAAATCGCCAGCTTCTTCCAATTTGGCATCGCGTTCTTTGAGCATTTGCGTCAGTCTCTCCCAAATAATTTGAATTTGTACGATGCGTTCTCTAATAACGGCCGCTTCTTCAGGATGTTCACCTTCGATGCTGTCAGCTTCTTTTTGAAGGGAATTGAGTTTGGCTTGGATGGCGGCCAAATCTCTCTCCATTCCGCTAAGACGCCGTTGTAAAGTCATAATACCAGTAAGGTCCATTTCCAAACTGTCAGTTTCTTGTAGAATTCTGATTTTGTCTTCGATCCAAGTGGTCGTTTCGCGACATTCGATGTGGAACGTTTGCACTCCGTGAGCGGAATTGAGTTCTTCGCGTTTGGCTTCGGCTTTTTCGCGCAACTCAGCCCATTTTTGATTAAGTTGATTTTGCCTGGCAGTGATCTGTTCCGAGTTAGGATGTTCTACGTGCAACAATTGCCTAGCTAATTGATTGACTACGGCTACTCGAGAAGCGTTGGAGTTCATTTCCTTTTCAAATCCGTCGTAGCGGTGTTTCATGATTTCTACGTCTTCGATGTCTCTGGCTGGAATCATTGTTTGCAACATTCTATCCTTTTCGCTGATCCATTGTTCGACTCCGTCGCTCTCCGACAAGAGTTTATACAAAGATAGAGCGTCGAGCAAACGTTGTTTTCTGAGTTTGGCCAATTCTAATAGTTCTCTGTAACGATTGTCAATGGAAGCTAAACGTTGAGATACCTCTGGAGAGCTAGCAACCTCAGCACCCAAAGCATCTGCTTGTTGATGGAGACTATCAATAACACTGCCGTAATTTTTGAGTTCATCGGTAACATCTTTGTGTTTTTTAAGCAGTGATTGTGCGTTGCCTTCGTCACGACCTACGTCTTCACTGGATACCATTCTTAGAGTGTCTAACATCCAAATATCCACGTCATCGGCGTCAGCAAATAGTTGATGATAATCGACAGCTTCTTCCAAACGTTTTCTGCGATAGGCAGCCAAATCCAATAAATGCTTCCAAGCGTCTCTAATTTCAGTTAGCCTTTCTTGAATTTTTTCAGCGCCAAAGTGACCTCCTTGAATTAATTCGTCGCCGACGCTCAAAGCGCTCTCCAATTGAGGTTCGTGAGCCGATAGTTCGTTTTCTAATATCTTGTGCTTGCTCAAAAGTAGATTAACTGTAGTGAGATCGTGTCCGATATCTGAGGTAGATACGATTTGTTCTTTTTCTTTAATCCAATTATCTTCATCGGCCATATCCCAGTAGAACTGCCACAGCTTTTTGCTTTCTTCCAATCTGGATCTGCGTTCTACTGCAAGCCTTACTAGTTGAGCGTAGGCTTCTTCTAATTGTTGCACTCTTTCCAGTACCAGCTGAGGATCGCAGGGTTTGTAAGCATCCTCATGTTCAACCTCAACAAATCTTTGACTTTGACTGGCAACAGCCTTGACTCTTTCCCCAAGAATATTAATGTCAGCCTCCAATAAATTATGTTTTTGCAACAAATCTTCTACGCCCATAAGATGTTTGCCATAGTCGTCCACTAAAAGTCTGGCTTTCAATTCCTCCATGGCATCTAAAATGTGGAGCATTTCTTGGAAGTTTTGTTGGAGTTGTAAAGACATATCCAGTCTATTTCTACGAGCTCTAAGCAATTCCAGAAGGTAATTCCATAGGCGTAGGACATTGTCTTTTCTAGCATTAATACGTTCCATGTCGTGGTAGTTTTCTGCTTCCAATTCAGCGGCAACCGATACAACAGCTTGGACTCTTTCTTCGTAGGCGAAAATGTCGGTTTCGATGGCTTCGTGTTTTTTCGCTGCCGCTTCTACGGCTGCAAGATCTTGTCCGAAATTGTCTTGCGATACCAACCGTTGGTTTTCGCTCAACCAAGTCTCTCTCATGCTAGCTTTTCTATTAAATCTAGCGGCTAACTGCTCAAGTTTTTCTTGTCTTATGAGTTCTTCTCTCAAAGCCAACTCGCGTTCGTGTTCTGATTTTTCTAATCTCTCCCAAGCTTTGTTGATGTCTGAAATCATTTTGCCCTCTTTTGGTGTATAGGGACGTTGATTGTTTGCTCTCATTTTGGATTGTAGGGTAAACAGAAGGATTTCTAAGTTGCCTTTTTCTACAAACTTGGGAGGTTTCTCTACTGTTCTGTAATTGTTGAATTGGCCTAATTGTTGTTGCACTCCGGTTAAGCTATTGGCGAATTCGCGCTCTCCCAAAGCTGAAATGGTAGCTTCAATCCAAGCTAACAAGTCACTAGTGAGACCTTCATATTCTTTTATCATTCTTTCGTTTTCCATGGCGATTCCTACAACTTTACCAATACGTTTGCCTTGCACAGTTTCCTGTTTCATTTTGCTGAAATAGTGATAGTAAGTGACGACATAAGTGATGATAGATTTTTCGTCAGGTTGTTCAACAAAGACATCTTCAGCGTCTAATAGTTTGGTGAGGCCTAATTTATCTTCGGCCACGTTGAATGCATTATTTAAATTGTGTATGGGGTTGGATTTTGATAGTTTGTCGAATTGTATCAAATCTGGACGATGTTTGTGGATGAGAGCGTTAAAAGCCAAACCATCGCGCCACGATGTAGAAAAATTCCTGACGTTTACATTATGATATCCAGCAGTTTTCATTTGACACCAAAGCAACAAGGCATCTTTAGCCGATTTGGTTTCTTGATTATCCGTCTCCTCGATGGTAATGTCCTGTATTTGGAAGCGCAAGATTATAGTCCATATCAGACCTAAGGACAATCTAGGATTGCCGTCTACGATATCATGCGATCCCATATTTTCCAAGTGCACCCTCTGCTCTTTGAGGAACTGCAGTGCTTTATCGACATTTTCTAGGCAGTGAATTCGCATTTTACCTTTGGTAGGACGGGGCAAACGTTCGCCGGAAAGAACTTCTAAGAGTTTTATTAAATTTTTGCCGTCTCTAAGGTCGGTGTATAAATCTACGATACGCGAGTTGACGCGGACTAAATGTGAATTGACCCATTTTTGGAAGGTCTTTTTTTGGACACTTTCTCTTTCATCTGAAAAGGGAGAGGATGGTGTCAAAATAATATCTATATGTATCATAAATAAAAATGCTGGAGTATTTTTATTATAAAATGTTGAGGATATAGGTAATGTGTGAACTGTAAAAATTTTTTACATCAAGTTTTTAAACATCCATTCAGACACTGCATTATATTGTTTGATCAAATCATTAATTAAAACCCACATCACAGATATAATAACGTACTGAAAGCCTCGTTAAGTTTATACAGGCATGATTTAAATATTCAAGAACGCGTGTTACAGGATGTGCATATTATGTCAGTAAACCAAATAGAGACGATAAACGCTAAATTGCTAGGATAATGATATTACATTCCGCTTTTGTTAAGACAATTAATTATTTCAACACGTAATGTTTTAATTTACCTCGAAGTTCAAAGACAAAGTTGTCATAGTATTCGTAGTCTTTATCATATTCTTGTGTAATGAGGCCCATTTTTTGCACAAACTATTTTTTCAAAATATAAACACAAACTACTCTGATCTAGCATATAGCACTACTGCTTTCCTGAAACTACCGCACAGGAAATAAGTTTGGTTTTTGATAAAAATTATTATTTTACAAGTGATAAGGGCCCCTCATTAGCTCCAAGCACAAATAATAATGTTCTTGTTGGTGTTATTAAGATAATTTTTGTTTGCAAAAAAAATATCAATCTGGTTAAAGGTGTACCTTTAAATTTGTGGTATGTATGTTTTATTTGTTCAGTACAATAGCTGAATAATACAATACCAGGATTAGACTAATAGGCTTAAGCCTCAGACAAATAAATAAACAACATAAAATTACCTTGTTGACTAAATTGTTATGAAATGTTTACCTAAATATTTATCTAGAGCCTCAACTATGCCATTAACTGGTGAAAGTGTACACATACCACTTACGGAATTTTTTTAATTACAAATACTCGGGGGGTTTGTCATATAAATAGACTCACCTGCCAATGCTTTTATCCTGGATCTTTCAAACAATCTGGAAGACGAATTGCCTCCATCGTATTCATAATCCTCTTCGATTTGCTGCTGTAAGGTGGGATCCCACCTTACTATACTTATATCTGTGGTCATGTCTATTTGTTTTCACCAGCCAAGCTGGCCACCTGGAAATAAAAATAATTTCGAATTTAAGCATTTAAATCGAGGATAATCCAATAATTAGAAGTAGGACATGACCCAGGATAAATGTAGGAAACATTTAACGCATCAATAAAATATTTTCAAGTGATATTTTGTCCTAAAGTATATGAGTAATCTTTTATAGGGGTATAGGGATGGGTTCATTCACATAGCATTCCACATTAATCAAGCATAATGAGCACATTTATTCATTTAGCTCAAATAATTCAACTCGCCCACAGTGTATTATACATAATACAGGCGTATCAAAACTAATTAAAGGTCGAGATACAAAATTCCTGGCACACATTAAGGCCTTTTGTTACGATACGAATCGATTTTTTTAGGAACTTGAAAAAGAGTTTTTAATGTAAAAATCGATGTACTTACTTACCTACCATTTTTATAGTTTTGTCGCCCCCTTATTTTCCCACAATCAAACAAGAATTTACTTTTACTATAGAAACATTCAATTACTTTAAGGTAATAATCTCTGCACAATACTAAATTAACATTCCATGTTCCATATACATAGTCACATCACTAATCAGCTGAGTGAACGAACTGGAACACTGGACAGGACAAAACAATACGGAAGGGAATTCCCTCACTGTAACTCTGTTAACGCTTGCTAGAGCCAACAAACCGTCTCCTGCTGCTAGAGGTTTACTGATTGCTGAATGGGCTCTTATGGAAACTGAGTGCGAAGCAATGCGCAGGCATATTTGGGAGATAGAATTACATACCAATTTAATTTGATTTTTTTTTTCTCCAAAATGTAACTTTTGGTGCAGAAAATCTCTGGGTATCAATACGAGTCGAATTCCTTAATATAAGTGATGTCTTTGTCACTGCAGACATTTTCAAATTAACGAACTAGTGTCCCAAAATAAGTCATACAACATAGAAATTTATTGTTTTTTCCAATTTTTCCGAACGTTCCGATTTTATATCCAGATTTTCGCAAGCATTTGGCAGGGAACGATGAAATCGATCGAGAAGAGCCGCCTCCAGGTCGCCTCTAGCGCTGTAGCCAGCCAAAATTGCATTGCGGCTCTTTTCAAATTATAGTAAAATAATTAAATTATCACTAGAGAATTTTAAAGACAGTAATCAAACCTCTCAAGGATGAGCCAAATAACAAACACCTATACAAACATAAATAAAATAAAAATGTGGAATGGCACAATGTAATCAAAAGGACGCGACTATAAATAAGTCAAAGGAGTTTGAAGTGCAAATTCCACATATAGGACAGGTCTTTAATTAACTATAGCCACATTGTCACGAATCTAATCTTTGAATCTTTATTTGTTTATCACCAGGGTTTTACTGTTAAAGGGTGAGGCCCTTAGACCTATCCTATCGATAATCACGTTACTGTGCCAATATTTGCTTCCTCTAGGAAATTGAATTGAAATTCCTTTGAAGGACGATGATGATGATGATGCTGCTGCTAAGTGGTAGAGGTTTGTCAACTTTATGGAAAATTTTACTAGGACAGGCACATATTGTTTGCGTGCTTCACCAACATTTTACAACTCAAAATTTTATTGCTTGTGGCAAATAAAAATGTATTGATTATGCGGCTTAGAATTATAATACTTACCTCCAGTGGATATTGTGTATACTTTTCTTTCAAATGTATTTCAAAGGAAAGAATTTGAAATAATAATGCAGATTTTGCTCGAGATTTTGTGATTGTCCCAGCACGCTGTTATTTTGATTTTATGTAGTTGTATTTTCTACAAATTTAGAGCTAAAGTTTTTGAGTTTCTTTCAGAGAAATATCAATTGTTGTTTTAGGAATGTTTCAATGCGCAAATAAGCAATTATTTATTAATTACATTGTAAGTAAAATAAATCTGCCAAATCAAAAATCTGGGATGCAAGTTAGAAGACCAAAATGGTCCAAAATTTGACATTTTTCGAAACATTGAATAAACGCAAACTGCAAATATCCCTACATAAAAATAATTCTATTGAGAGCGAGAGTATCCTGTCATCCATATTATACATCGCTGAGCAGTAAAGCAGAACAGTGTTGGAGGATGTTAAATTTAAATCGTCACTATTTATACGAATTTTTAATGATATTAAACAGAAAGCCTATAATAGACTTGGTGGCCCTGGCCAATTTGTGGAAGCTTCAAGTAGAACTAAAATAAAAATCTATCAGAAACAATAAACACTTTGTTTAAACCAGCCTAGACGTATATTAAAAAGAAAGCTATTAAATTTTACAGTTATAGTTTCTTCAACCACAATGACTAAGATGTATTTCTTACGGTAGCATTGGACCAGTGATGTTAAAAACCCAAACTAGATCAAACCTTACAAATGTCGTCAAGCATAATAAATTTTACACACCCTAAATAAACCAAACATGTCTCAAGGAGGCTGATAAATACTATAAAAGGAAATTGGGATTTCTGTGCTAATTGCAATAATTATTATCTAATCTTTTGCTATGAATAAAAGCTAATTTTAAAATATTACATGAAAAGCATTCATTATTATTATTATTATATCATCTTGGGTATTACGTCACCTCACATCTTTATATTTGTTAATGGTCGATTTACATTGCACCAGTTAAGTGCCTGATTCCTTCTGCCCACATACACCTTGACGAATTTTTATTAAATTGATGATACAGTGTGAATTGACCTTTATGTTTGTTTAGTAGAACAAGTTTTTGACAAGCAGATATTTCTGATAATACATAGGGAATTAGACAGAAAATTAATAAGGAAACGAAAATAATACCTACCTCAATTTCAATTTATTAAATACACATGAAAACTACTTCAATAAAATACATATGAGCTTTATAGTTATTTTCTACTCAACCCAAATAGGTACACTGTAATTTACAAATCAAAACACTCTTAGTTTTCAATTTTAATTTTATGTAAGTTCCATGCTATACTTATATTATTTTTTCAGATTACAGAGTCCATAAGCTATTTTTATAGCACATTCATTACTGTCTAGTAATTTGGGCTCCAAAATGCAAAAAGTCTAAGAGTTCAGCCTTTGCAAAACTACTACATACTCATACTTGGGCAAATTATTATCTTATCACGCTTCATAATCAAGCATGTAAGTGATAAGAAGTAATTTGTAATTACTTAAAGCTGTGGTACTTTTAAAAATATTAAAAGTCAAGAAGGATGATTCTAGATTTTGAATGCAGCAATTAGGGTTAATGTGCCTGTCTGCGGCTAATTTACTTTTAATTAATGGAAGTGAACCAATCTATAGAACTTGTTTTGTTTATTTGGAAACTGGAGTCATTCCCTTGCAAACTTCCTTGATTTTCTAAGAGAATATTTTCAGAATCTTCAGAACCTCTCAGATACTCACTGAATCTGGTAGAAGAAAGAACCTTCAGGAGGATACATTTTAAATTGTATAAATTGAGTTTTCATGTCTGTATATTTTCATTGATGGTTTCACTCTCGTCTTGTCTTTGACATTATTACTTTAACCTATATACAGTGTGTCCACTTAAGTTCGCAGCATATGGAAAACTTTTTTATTATCAATTTTACGAAAAAAAGTTATTCTTCATAAAAGTTTCTGCCTCTTGAAAAAATAATATTAAACTATTATAATTTGAAATAGCATGTACAGGGTGGTCAGAACTACCCCCGTCTTAAAAAATTTGCTTTTTTTAACAAATAAACAAAATGTACTTATTTTTTTAGTGTAGTAGCACACGCCGGGTATCCGTTAGTATGAATATAGATTTGTTTTAAATTGAATTGGACTATAATTTTTATTAGATAGATGTAGGTAATTAGCTCTAAAACTTTATCAATAGTCAATAGCATGTATTTTGGACAATAAAGCATGTAAATGTCCTTGTGCAAATGTTCTGTTTTCTTTGAGAGGATTTGATTCATATGGATCTCAAGATCCTTATTTCTGCAAAATTTCTAGAGGCTTTCATGGAACACTCTAAAAACTTCAGCTCCTGAATTCAAATTTATTACTCTGCAAATTTCCTAATTTTTCTCTTAATAGAATCTTAAACTACTGAATCTTGTATTCATTTGCAAACATTCTGGTTCTTCTATGGGAATCTTGGGACCCTATGAGATTCTGAAAAACCCAAGAGTTAGGTACCTACTTTTTTTTGCCAATGTTCTGTTTTTCAATGAGAAGACTACAGATTTTCACATTCTGAACCCTGCAAACCGAGCTGCAAATTTTGAAAATTTCTGGTGCTATTATTATTAAAAAAAAACTCTAGGAACTATAGATGTTGAATTCTAATTCATTAGGTTCTTTGCACATTCAGTGATTCTTCTCTAAAAAAGACTTTCAAAATCCTGAATCTTGATTTTACTTTGCAATTTTTGCAAATTTCCTGGTTCTTCTATGAGTAGAATCTTTTTAGATCCTACACGAGATTCTCAAGAACCTAAGAGTTATTTATTTGCGAATGTTCTGTTTTTCCATGAGAACACAGAATTTCAGATCCTGAATTCTACAAACCTTGAAAGTTTCTTGATGCCTTTATGGATAAACTCTAGAAACTTTAGATCCTAAATTTTGAGTCATAACTCTGCAAAGGACCCCGCACACCTCTTATGGGTTTTTGGTTTTCTGTCAAACTCAATGAAATTTTGATATGTGGTATATTTTGACTTACTGATAAAAAGTTCTCATAGGCCCAATCCGATACTATGAATAGTTTCCGAAATACAGGTGGTTTAATGTCCAAGAAATGTACACATTTTATATGCATTCACATCTATCTGTAACCTATTAATGGGTCTGTCAGTCTGGAATTTCATTGGTTGAAACTAGTTTTCCGACTGTTTCTGACTGTTTTCGACCAATCAAATTCGCTCTAACAGGTTTGTGATTTTTGCAGAAACAGACCTATTATTAGGTGACAGGTAGATGTAAATACATATAAAATGTGTACATTTCTTGGACATGAAAGTACCTGTATCTCAAAAACTAATCA